GATTGCACATTGCACAATCGACAAGAAATACGAAATATCAACGAGACATAACTCTAGATTTAGTCCATTCGCCAATAACGTCATCTTATAGTACTTTACAGCAGATTAATAAAAGCACACATCGGAGGAAGATATTCCCACCAACCAATATCCCAGACTCCCCCCCCCCCCAAAAAAACGTGTCTTGATATGCTTTCCCCTCATCCACCCCAGCCACTCATCAATGACCCTCTCCTCCTCCTCGCCTGCATCGGTGCTTACGCCGGGAGGCCCCTCTTTTCCGATTCGGTAAAGAAGATGACCATGCGCCACAACTTTTTGACCAGGTCCTCGGCCTCGTCGTCTAGTGCCTGTAGAATGTGTGTAAGCTTGAGAAGACCGTTTTTTTTTAAAAAAAAAAAAAGAAAAAAAAAAAGGAAGAAAAAGGAAGAAAAAGGAAACGGGGATTGATCATGCAGTCATCAAAATGTCGAAGCCGGTGCAACAAAGAAACACGACTCGCCAAAATGGTGATGAAGAATTGGGGTGGTTTCAAGGGAAAAGAGGGACGGACGCCGCGGGAATGAAAAGGTGAGAAAGACGAGGGGGTTTAAAAACAAAAAAGAGATAAAGACGGAAAACAGGAAGAGAGCAAGCCAGTAAAGAGAAGAAGAGAAAGAGAAGAAAAAAAAAACAAAAACAAGAAAACTTACCCCTTCCAACTCCTCCACCAACGCCGCCGCCGTCCCATGCTTGCGCAGATGCTCTTCGACCGCCTCCACCAGCATCTCCTCCTGCACGCCGAGGTATTCCACAATCTTCTTCTCCACAAACGGCCGGAGCCTGTCCGCCACGACACCTTCGTCCATGTGATCCCACTGCACCTCCCACCGCCAGAGGCCCTCGCGGTCCGACGGAATCTCCTGCGCCAGCGCCCGCACCGCCCGCGACACCTCCTCGTCCGTCATGCCCGCGGCGCCGCCGGCACCGCCAACGGCACCCGAGCCCCCGTCGTCGTGCTCGAGCGGGATCAGCGGTCGCAGTCGGCGCGTCGCGTCCTGCTCCTCTTCGTCGTCGAGCAGGCCCTCGACCTCGGCAACGGTGCGGCGGCGCGCCGCGGCCGCACCCCGCGACGCTTGCGCCTTTTGCGCGGCAGCACCCAGGGACAGCTTGAATGGCTGCGGCGCCGCAGCGGGCGCAGCAGCAGCGGCGGCAGCAGTTGAATCGGTTTCCGTCTCGCGAGGCCGCGACGATTCTTCGGCCTGCTTGTCGAGGAAAGAGTCCGCCATGCCGAGCGCGCGCTCCCGCTGGGCCGCCGCGCGGCGCTCGTCCTCCTTTTCCTGGCGCCGGTCCGCCTCGTCCTTGGCCTCCTCGTCGGCGCGGTCGCCCGCGCGCTTGCGGGCCCACGCGGCGTGGTCCCGGTAGTACGGGTGCGTCTTGCGACTCGCCTCGCGCTCGTCGTCCCACTCCTTATCCTGCGCGAGGCGGGCCTGCGCGCGCCGCCGCTGCGCCTCGGCGCCGTCCTTTTCGCGGTTGCGCTCGCGATCCAGCGCTGCCTGCCGCGCGCGCTCGCGGCTCGCCCACTTGCGCTCCGCCTCGCTGTACAGCCGATCCGCGCTCGCCTTTTCCTCGTCGAGGTGGCGTCGATGCAGCTCTTCGTCGCTGGCGTCCGTGTCGTCATCGCGGTAGGTGATGCCGCCGTTTTCGACGCCGCCGTTGACAAAGTCGCCACCACTGGTGCCATTTTGGGCGCGGGGCCCGGAGGGTGCGCCGCGAGGGCCAAGGGGTATGCCGTTGGAGCCTTCTTGCGGCGCGGGCCGCGATGCTCCGTTGCGTCGCCGTTCTTGCTCTTCAAACTCTTCCTCGCCACGTAAACGTTCCAAGTCGTGCTGGTTGCTACGTTCGCGGAAAGCGGCAATCTCTTTAAGCACAACTTCGCGAATCTCGGCTGGGATATCGGCCAACTCGTCTTCTTGTGCCAGCCCAATATTGACAACCTCGACTGCCTCTCCGTTTCCAGCATTATCCATGACAGTATCCACATGGCGGGATGTCGACGCCGATAATGGATAGAATAAATCTCGTAGAGCGTATTTGAGCTGTGCGCGGGCGTGCGCCTCTCCCGCATCGGCTTCCTCCTCCTCCTTACGGAACGCCTCTAGGTAGTTGACCGTGCTGGCGTCCAACGTAGTTTGTAGCTTTACCTTTTCAAAATCTTCAAATGTGTCGTCCTTTGGCTGTTCTGTCGCAATGGGCTGCTTCGTCTTGGGCACTTGAACCTCCTCCTCAACCAACAAGCGCGCGGCGTTGTGCAGCGACTCGACGTCCTCGAAAAGCGCAAAGCCAAATTTGGCCCCTTTGTGATCATTCATTACGCTATCCAGCGCTTCCCATCGCCTTAACCGTCCCACAGCGCTGAGAATCTTTTGAATGCCATCGCTGCCCACTCCCTCGGGAATCTCGTGTATGAACATCGTCCGCAATTTTTCCTCGGCTGTTGGTGGGATCAGGACTTGAGAAACGTCACGGTTCAACAATCGTCCTGAGTCTTGGCCTCTGTCCATGCCCAGCCCCGGACGGCCGCCGCCTCTGGGACCGTCGCTTCGGTCGTTTCCGCCGGCCGGTCCTGTCGTGCCGAGTCGAATCACGGGTGCGCTAAAGTTGATGTTGGGAATATTTGGAGGCTGAAAGGATGCTGGCGGACCACGACCCGCGGACGGCGCATTCGCTTGCTGCATGCCCGGTGGCATGCCTGGACGGGCTGGGACGCCTGGAGGAGGAGCACCTGTAAAACATCAGTATCTATGGCCAACGAAGATTCCGCCACCAATTACCTAGCCCTGGCGGCGCACTCATGCCAGGAGGAGGATTTCCGTAGCCACCATATCCTGGCGGCGCACCATACGGACTGCCTACAACTTTGTTAGCTGTGCATTCAACTCGTGAGGCCCAGAACATGCCTCCATGTTGGTTATACGACATGTCGCGTGGTGCTCAACGCGATCTAAATCGTGGCGAATATTCCAGATTAGTGGCCTCAAGTATAACGATGTAGTAAAAGGAGGCGCAATTAGATGGAAAATATCGTCGGCTGCAACAAAAAGTTGTATGGCAGGCTGGTTGTCGATGGAGCTCCAAGTTTGCGGCGCCGCGTTGATTGGTCCCACCAGCCGCCAGATCAATTTTTGGCAGGCACCGCATCAATATTTTTTCCGCACAACGAATGCCAGCTAGTTTTCGCGCTCAGCATCAACCTCCTAGCTGCGACCTGTGCCAGCACCGATTCATTCACAGAGCACTGCCGCTCGCATCACGTCAAAATGTGCGCTCCAGTCCCTCATGTTCAGTCATTTGCAATGCTCTACGACTTTTAATACTAACACTTTTGCCAGGGCATCCTCAATTCGTCACAGCAGCACCATACTGCATAGGATAGCCATGCAGCGTCCGTCGCCCGCGCGATGCTTCACCACGACCACCATGAACCTCAACGAGCGCCGTGCGCCCAAGCCTCCGCCGCGAATAAATCCTCTCATTGGCGGCATGCGAGCCAAACCTCTAGAACCCGCCGCTCAAGAACCCGCCGCTCCGGCACGGCCCAATATCAACGTCCAGTCCACCATGACGCCGCCGCCGCCACCGCCGCCTCCCAAGTCTGCCTCCGCCGCCGCCACCAGCCTCCCTCCTCCTCCTCCTCCTTCTTCTTCTTCCGACACCACCTCGCCTGCCCACACATACTCGGCGACCAGCAAAGGGGTACCGTTTCAGCTGGACGTCACTGGGATCCTGTCGAGCAAGGCCTCCGACTACGGCCGCTCCGTGCAGCAGGATGATCCCCTGACACGGCCGCGCGTGCGCGCCGTTGCCGCGACGGGCCGCACCATTTTTGTGCGAAACGCCAACCCGGGTCCCAACTCGGCGCCCACGGTCCGCGGCGCGCTGGCCATGCTTGGCCGCCTCGTCGGCAGCCAGCACGTCAAGAACAAGTACTACTCGCAGAGGTTCCACGAACGGAAGGGTCTGAAGCGCAAGCGTCTCGCGAGCGAGCGTTGGCGGTCTCGTTTCAAGGTCGGCTTCTGCGCGGCGTATACCCGTGTCCACGAGCTGCGGAAGCAGGGCTGGTAAGGTGGTTGGATAGTAGAGCAGAGATGTAACAATAAGACCAAGGATTGTAGAAAGCCCAATCTTGTATGATATACCGCATTAGAAATACGTTGCCTATGTTAAATTCAAACAAAGAGGCCGAGGCATCCCCTATTGGCTGTCACATAATGAACTTTGCATGGGGCACAGTGACACAGCAGATGAAATTCTGAATATCGATTACTTAATTTGCCACATGACTATACTATGTAAAATGTACGCTCACCTAAAGCCGACGCTGTCTGCCTCCCGCCCCAGGCCCCAGGCCGTAAGGGCGCTCACCCTCGTGAGTCGTGCTTAACGGCCACACCGTACGCTATTGGACTGTGTTCCACTTGGGAAAATGTGCCCACGCTGATGGATCTTATCTGATCTAATTTGAGACGCTGAATCTGCGGTTACGTATGTTCGTAGAATTAGTTGAGGGGCGATGCGTAGATTTACCGCAAATGGGCCGAGCCCAGACTGCAAAGCTGCCGGCAGAAAGCGGCTCGGGCCGGTTCAGTGTATGATGAACAAGATGTCGTAAAGAGAGCATCCACTTCTGAGTGCAAACATTCAATACCATACATTGAGTTGCTCCAACTTTTGGACGCTGTGTTTCAATAGATGTGAGGTTTTACTGTAGCGCCAAAAGACGCCATACTTGTGCATCTTCCACCTCACCTCTAGACATTAATCGGAGCGGAGAAATCGTATCGAGTCGAGCCCAGGCATGATCTCGTCACGATCGATTGTTCGTATAATATATTAAAGGCACGTTGATGACTTTGCAGCTGCTGTGAAGTTTATTGCCGCCCTCGAGGTGCTCATTATTATTTTTACCACCGACTATAATTCTTAGCACGGTTTCAAGGGTGCCAAAAAAGCCAACACCATGTCCCACCTGGTTGAACATGAAGCTAGAGGGAGATGGTAATTTTTTGGCCAATCAATTGTGTCCAATTGTAACATGCCGCACTGAGGCTATCCAGACAAAGCAGTGCAAAATCGTTCATGCCATTATTTCCTTGCATCGTCGTCGGATCTGGAGTTATAAGTTTGATGCCGTGCCTCTCTCCGTCCAACATTACTTGAAGGGGATCAAGGTTGGTTAGTTGGTAATTACCTAGGAAATAGCATATGAACCATTACAGGCCAAATGAGGCAGGCCCGTCCTTAGCCGCGTAACGTGCGTACGTACCCCATGCAATAGAAAGTGTGAAGTGGATATCGAGGGTGAAGAGTCCACACACATCCAAGATGGAAATCGCATTTCAGCTCTCATTTCCGAAGATCACAATGTCCCACCAACTGTATCTGAATAGAATATTAGTGAGTCGTTTGTTTGCTTTATTTCAACGTCTGATTTGAGTTGTTGATGAACGTGCACGTGGTGCACAGGCGAATGCTATCTTTAGCAACTATGCCATTTAATACTCCTCAAGACACGGAAAAAGTAGAACGCACATAAATAGCAAGCTAACTTGTGTTGATAAGAGTAGTTATAGCGTCTCTTTACTAACATCAAATTATAGGCTTAATTTCTTACACCAACGGGATGGTGACTGCTCCCACTTCACTGGAACTATTGGCTTCGCGGCGTCTTTATATTACCTAGTCCACATCTTGGCAACTGAATTGAAACGGGTCATAAGTCGACAGATGACCAATATTGTCTTTCCCCATCTATATCTTGGCTGTGGAAACTCGTTTGCCAGTCTTCTCTAGTCTGGCAATCAGAACATATATGAGCTCCGGAACATTCTATGGCATCTACGACAGAGCTCTGATTTTTATGCCGCGCCAGTGTTCTCTGTCCCGCTACATCGTAGTCTTCCGGTCTATACTTGGCCATGCTCATCTCTCTTGTTGACTTGTGAGCCGTGACTCGTATTTCTGTGCGTTTCTGAAACACTCTGGCGGATCTAGAGTTGCATCTGCTTGGCTCTGCACAGATGGGGCTATGTATAAACTCCGCCGCCCCCTGCTCCATCGACTTTGCAGATATTAGGCAGGATCAGCAGCTCATTTACTCCGCAGAGACCTACTACCTTCCTAAAAAAGACTTTAAAGTTGACATTAAAGCTACAGTAGGGATACGGCATGACGCGGCCGGCCAGTTATAAGCTAAACACAAATACGAAGTCAAGGCGGAGCAGGACAAGTGGTCCGACTAATGTCAACTTACACCTCAGAGTTGAGCGACTCAAGAAGAAATGTATATTGAAAGTCAATACCGGAGGCTATAACACATGCTGTGAAAGCAACTTATATATCAAGATATCTTGGCCATGCAAAACCAAACGAGGACCATCAGTTCTCCCGGCTCTTAGACCAACACTGAATAGAACTCTCATCTTGCGCTGCTCATAGCTCAGCTTCACTATCAATCATGCGGTCTATTGGAAAGGCCGCTGCTCTTACTCTGGGTATGGCCACGGACGACTGCGGATCGCAGAGCTTTTGTGTGTACTAACCCCTGCATGCAGGCTTTTTTGGTGCAAGCCAGGCTCTGGAAGCAACTATTCTTGCCGATACCAACCGCGATGGCAGAATAGACACGACAGGAAAGAGCGACCACACTGGTAAAGACACCTGGACGGAGACCTCTGGCGCTCTCTTGCTCGCCAACATTGGCGATTCGAATCGTCGATGCTCGTCCAATATTACCACCTTTGAGTTTGACGAGACCCTTGTCGATTATAACCTGTGCAACGATGCTACTGGCAATGTCCAGCGAAACCCAAAGTACCTGGCGCCAGTTTTGACTCTGCCAATCACCAACCTTGGTGACTCGGCAACGGGCTCTGTGGTGGTGGTAGACAAGACTGCCGCCTCCAAAGTCCGCGTCTTTCTCAAGCAAGGTGATGATGGCTGGACCTATATCGCTTCCAACTATACCTTTACGGCGGATCAGCTACGCCAGGGACTGAATCTGGGTGTCGACGCCCGCGAGGTCCGCACGGACAGATGGGACGGTAGAGCCACGCTGCAATTCTCGGTTGAGGATAACGGTGCGAAAGCCAAAGACAGCGTTGCCATGCGAGTTGCTCCTGTGCTCACGCATCATCCCGCCCAGCTTGCCGAGCAAGTGGTCGTGACTGATTTCAAACTAGAGGACGGTGACACTTTTTCGGACCGCTATAATGGCGATTTTGAGAGATTTTCTGCTCTGGCGGGACTCAAGAAGCCTGTTCTCCGAGCCAATCAGTCAGATGAGTGGACTCAAGACTTTTTCGAGGCGGGATATACGACTATGCCGGGGGCAGATGGCCCGGTCACACTGCGTGTCATGATTGCTTCTGCTCAAAACTCGACGAGCAGAATCCGATCACACCGCTGGCTCTTTCGCGAGATGCGATCTGACACGGTCGGAGCTGTGCAGCATTATACATATGGCGATACTACGGATTCCACCGGCAATCTCGAAGCCGTCCCGCCATACACTTTCAACGGCAAGACTTGGCCCGCAGGACGGACGGTCCTGGGCTCCCACCACGGTGTCAAGCCCGAAATAACAAAGTTTCTCAATGCGCAAGAGGTGCAGGCACCTATTGAGATTGACACGACTTGGCTCGAGGTTGGGCACACGGACGAGTTTATGCAGTTTTTGCCGGCCCAAAACGAGCGAGGCTGGGTCATGATGGTGGATGACCCCATGGCCGGTCTTGCCATTCTCCAGCAAGCGCAAAAGGCAGGCAACGGAAATGTGTCTGCTCTGTCTCGTCCCGTCATGCCCGAGGACGACGACACGCGCTGCTTGCCCAAGGACACGCTCGACGATGTTTTGAACAGGGTCAACTTGACCGAGATTCAAAAGTACTGCGACGACAACATCAAGGCCAACATTGACATTGTCAAGCGCGAGACGGGCATCACCGACGGAGAAATCATTCGTGTCCCGACGCTCTACCACCCTGCCAATAACACGCTCAAGTGCGTCATCCAGTGGAATTCCACCTGGACCCCAGGCTCCAACTATTCCGTGCAAGCCAGAGAGGAGCTCACCGGCCGCCATCGCACGCACGGCAGGCCGCGACCCGTATCCATTCTCGAAGCGGCCGGCGTCGAGACATCGTCCTCGTCCTCCCCGTCCTCCTCGTCCTCCTTCTCCTCTGGCATTACCCAGCGGGACGACGCGCCCAAGACGCTGCAGGTCAGCGCCATGTATCCCGGCTGCATCAATGGCGTCGTCTTGTCCAATACCGAGTACGTGGCGCCGAACCCTTGGGGCCCCATTGTTGACGGCAAGGACATTCTCGCGACGGCCGTCACCGCTGCGTACGCCAAGGCAAACTATACAATTCATTTCATGGATGACTGGTTCACGCACCACACCAGCCAAGGCGAAATTCACTGCGGTTCCAACGTCATTCGCGAGACGAGCGCCAAGTGGTGGTGAAGATGCTGATTCAAAAATGTCTGATTGGGGGAACTTTTTTTGTTTTTTGGATGATTTGTGAGCACTATGCATACTACTACCCATTATTGAGTATATTTGTGTCTGTCGCATACCTGTTTCTAGAGCTACATGATGAAATACTACCAAGAAATTTTCCAAAATGCGGGAAATGTAGACTTGAAATGAGTACTAATGAATAAAAGTGACCAATAAAAAGAAGACCAAGTTTCAGGTATACGTCTCGGCCCTCTTAATGTTTCCCGTCATTATAAACTGATTAGGCAAGAGACGTTGGCAGATCTGCGGTCCATGGAAACGTACCGAGAATCGTGAAAAGGCAGTGTGTACGAGCTACTGAATAACAGCAATGGCAAGGGTATGTACGAACTCGCAGCCCTCGTTTTTTTTTCCCACAGGGTACGTCATGCGTAAAAAACAAAGGAGACAAATCGTGATTTCATCATCATCATCATACATTAAACCAAACTAGGTGAGGTCTGTTCCTCATACAAGCAGATTGCCGTCTCTGACACTACACGAGACTGTCGATTCCAAAAGCTTGCCAATCAATGGAATAAC